TTGCATGCATTGTAGTGAAAAATAATCCAATTGCAGGTATATTAGGTAATTGCATATTTGGAAAAAGAAAATTTGAGTTTGGAGAAGAGGAACACGAAAGGGATAGAAGCTTATTCGTTGAGTATCCCAAATATAAGCAGCTAAGCTTCAAAGCAATGGCAAACTTGTTGACTTTTTAGCAAAATAGTAATTCCTCCCTCTCATTTAAGGTGTCTTAGAGCTCCGTTTGGCCAAGCTGTCAAAAACTGTTTATTTTGAAAAGTACTTTTTTCAAAAGTATTTTTTTCAAAAGTACTTTTAAAAAAAAATAGTTTGTATTTGGCCAACTCATTTAAGAAGTACTTTTTGCAACATTTAGTAAACAAATTGTGTTTGGACAATCTTTTTAAAAAGTAATTTTGAGTGTCAAATTACCAAAAAGGATAGTACCAAGATCTTATAATTATTTTAAAGAGAAAATAAAACTTAAATATTTATCGTAAGAGACTTTGATAATCCAAAGAAGGATGTAGATAATTTGCTTTAGTGTAAAAAAAGAAGAAGATAATTTGGAAAGTTACTAGATATTACACAAAGAAAAAATCAAAAACAAGAAAAGTCAATTTTTTTTGGGAAGTTACAATATATTCGTATATATGATATCTCTAATTTTAAAAGAATGGAAGAAACTATAAACAAAAAAAGAAAAAGAAAAAAAATTAAATTAGTAAGGGATAATTTGGAAAATATAAATTTATGGTGATGATAGTTTTGTCTTGAATAAATTAATTTTCTGCTTCTGCTTTTGCTTCTTGGAAGAAGCTAGAATTTTCTGTTTCTTCTCAAAAGCAGAAAAACTGCTTCTGCTACTAGCCAAAAGTACTTCTCCGTCTTGGCCAAACAACTTAAATTTTTTAAAAAGTATTTTTTTGGAGAAAAAAAAGTACTTTTGACCTCCTAGAAACTTGGCCAAGCAGGCTCTTAGTTTAATATAAAAACTGAAATGCCTTTTAAAACAGACTAACAGAAAACAAGACATCTAAATGGAAAGGAGTATCATTAATTTGTTACAACCTTCTTGATAGTGACTAGTGTCGAAGAACTTCTTTTAGAAACCAAAATAGCGATTATTGAGTAAAGAATTTTGAATGTCACATAGTGACGTTCAATATTCTCCACAAAAAAAAAAAACAAGAATTGTTCAAAACAATTATATGGAATTCTTGCCCTGCCTTGTGAAAATGGCAAGCACTTCCCTAGTTCCCTTTCCTTATAGGATGCTTTTATTCAATCCACAAACACCACGTTGTTTTTGACTTTTGTGATGATCCGATAGGTCATTTATAGTTTTACCCATTATTTCAATATTTCAAGACCTTAAATAGCTCCTTTTAGCCTTTCTCGTTTTGCGTGCACAGTCAGTGAGCTTTTTCCGGAAAATTTTTATGAGAAAATTGATGAAAATGTGAAATCGTGCCTTAAAAGTTATTTGAGTTGACTACGGTCAATGTTTTATGTAAACGGACCCGAATTAGTGTTTTAACGGTCCCGGTGGGTCCTTATCGTGATTTGGAATTTCGGCGTATGCCCGAAATTGAATTCGGAAGTCCCTAGCTTGATCTAACGTAATTTGTTGAAAACTAGAAGTTTAAAGGTTTAAAGAATTCTTAAGTTTGACCGTTAGTTGACTTTGTTACTACCAGGTTCGAATTTCGGTTCCGAAAATTGGTATAGGTTCTTTTCAGTATTTATAACTTGTGTGCAAAATTTGGTGCAAAACAAAATTAATTTGACGGGATTCGGACGTCCAGTTGAAAAATTAAAAGTTCTTAAGTTTCTTTGAAAATTTCCTTTATTTTGATGTCCGATTCGTGGTTCTAGGTGTTATTTTAATATTTTAATCGTGCGAACAAGTTCGTATGATGTTATTACACTTGTGTGCATGTTTGGTTTGGAGCCCGAGGGTCTCAGATGAGTTTCGAATAGACTACGGATGATTTTGAACTTCAAAAATTTCTGGTTTTTGACTTCTGCTGGTGTCTAATGTGTTCTTCTTCGTGACCGCGAAGAGTAATTTGGGTTGGGGAAGCTTTCCTTCATCGTGAACGCCAAACTTTGGGGGGTTGCCCTTTGCGAACGTGGACAGCCTCTCGTGGACGCGTAGTGTTGAGGGACCTGGGAAGGGGGATCTGGGGTTTGCTCTACGCGAACGCGAGCCCTGGCTCGCGAATGCGAAGGCTTGGGAGGAGAAGCGTTCGCTAGTGCGTGAGGAACCTCGCGAACGCGTAGGCCATTCTGGTTGTTGTGCTTCGCGAACGCGTAGGCCATTCTGGTTGTTGTGCTTCGCGAACGCGAAGAAGGCCTGACACCCAGTCTATTAAATGTCCCAAAGACGGGATTTCACCCACTTTTCACCATCTTTTCATTAGAGCTCGGCCTTGAGGCGATTTGGAAGAGAAATTTCATCACACTTTCATAGGTTAGTGTGCTTTAACTTGTTTTCTTCCATTTCCATCATCACCCATTTATTTCTAACCTTAATCTATGTTCTTTCATGATAGAAAATTAGAGATTTGGGAAGAATTAATTTTTTTTTTTTTTTAATTTATAAATTTGGGATTTAGACCTCAAGTTGAGGTCGGATTTCGAAACTTATTACATATGGCTTGTTTTTATATTCTTTAATCATATAGATTCTTGTGAATTGGGTTGTTGAATTGCTTACATTTTATTGATTTTATTTATGGATCGGGTTGCACGCCACAATGGGTGGAATAAGGGAGGATTAATATTGATATTGTGGGATTGGGTTGCACGCTGCAACGAATTTTATATGTGATTTTGATATGGTGGAATAAGGGAGGAATATGATATTGATTCTAATTACATTGGTGGGATCGGGTTGCGCGCCGCAACCGGTTTTATATGTTATTATTGATATTGATATGGTGAAATAAGAGAGGATTGTGTTTGTACCGTGGGATCGGGTTGCGCGCCGCAACAGATTGTGTGTTTTGTATTCATTGTTGTACTGTGTTAGCTTTCGATACTTCCATACGAGATTCTGAGTACATGTACTTTTGATTTTACCGATTCCGAGGATTGAATTTATTTTCATAAGTTAACTGCCTTACTTTCCTGTTACTATTATTATACTGCGTGCAAGTTATTGTAAGTGACCCGCCTTAGCCTCGTCACTATCTCGTCGAGATTAGACTCGGCACTTACAGAGTACATGGGGTCGGTTGTACTCATACTACACTCTGCACTTCTTGTGCAAACTTTGGAGTTGGTCCTAGCGGCGGTTAGTGGATTGCTTGGATTGATTGCCGGGTCGGAGACTTGAGGTACAGCTGCATGACGTTCGCAGCCCTGGAGTCCCCTTCTACCTTAACCTAGCTGTTTATTTCATTTCAGACAGTTTTACTTTCATTCTGACCATTATCTGTATTATTCTAGGTGCTCGTGCACTTGTGACACAAGTTCTGAAATTGTATCTAGATATTGCGTTTATTATGGTTTTTCACACTCTATTTCAGTTCTATTTCAGTTATTACAGTTTAATTGGTATTAGTTAATTTGATTTGTTAAAAATACCTAAAAACCATTCTAATGTTGGCTTGTCTAGCAAGTGAAATGTTACGCACCGTTACACGATAGAAATTTCGGATCGTGACAGCTTTATATAGAAACTCTTAACACTTCCTCTTTCTAACATCATTTAATTTCTTTCCGCGATCTTTGCCCTTTTGGATTTCAACAAAATTGGATGAATAAAGAGGAAAACTAATAAAAATATTTAAAGGAGGTCGACTTTATACCTTTTAGAAATTTCTGTTTTAAAATTTGGTTAACAATGTCAGAGTGAGCCTGAGCGTGGAATGGAAAACGATATTCATAAAAAAGTTTAATTGGGTGTGCTACAACCTGAACTTTGTGTAATTTTTATTTTATCCACATAATTCTTTCCTAGTAAGGTTTTAATGAAATATATTCATGTTTGCACGTTATTGGTTCATCTTTGCATGTTAGACTATATTATTTTGTACTCAAATACTCACAGTAAATTTTGTTTGGACTTCACTTTTTATTTATCCCATTTCATATTAAAGTTTTAACGCAGCATATTCCTTGTATTAGGAACATCTAATAACAAGGAATATTATGAATAAGTTATTTAATGGAGGTTCATTTTTTCTGGTAGAAAAGAAACGACATTGTAGCTTTTTCTTTCCCTAAGTGTTAGCATTAACTCTTTTGGAAAACAAGATTTTCATCTCCTATAAACAAAAGACTCCCGTATCTCAATTATATCAAATTCTATAGTAATAAAAAAATATATCTGCTATTCTCTCTACATCTCGTGCTCTTTTTCTGTATTATTTTATAACTGCGATAATTTCAGAAGGCATTATGCGTCAGAAATTATCATCCCATCCAGCACACACTCCGTGGCTTTGTATTCTCCGTCATTACATCGTACAAAGTCCATTTTAACACATTTGCTTGTTGCATATGTAGTTCGTACTTTGTTGGCAGTAGTAAGTAAATCAGAAAAATGAAAATGTTATTTTCGTATATTGAAATTTGCTTCTTTTTTTTTGGGTTTCCCACCATGTGTCTGGTACTCACATTAGAGTCCGACTAAGTTTGCATCTTTTTATTTACAGTAATATCTCAATTTTGAGTAAAATTATCCGCCATTATTTCACATGAAAATTTGAAAGATTATATTAAACCTATAAGAATGTAATATAAATCAAACAGAATTTGGAACGACTGTCAAGGTCTTGCAAAAGATTTAGAAAGAAAAAGAGATGTTACCAAATTTACAAAAAGTGTTACATCAGCGAACAAAAAGAAATCATTACAGATCATATTTTGTTATTAAAAAAAATCTTATTTATTGTGTTACTCCTTACTTTACAAGGACGACCTATAGTTGGTCTCATATGGAGTATTAATTATTAGTAGCCTAGTTGGTGGTCACATTGATAATAGCCTAGTTGGCACTAATTTCAGCGTTATAATTACGAATCTATGTGCCTTTTTCTCCTGGGGTAAAAGCCGTTCGTTGGTTTTTGTCATGGCTTTTCATTCTTCATCGTTAAAATTATATACTTGGAACACTGCAATTGCCTGCATCATTTTAGTATTGAACTTTTTTCAAGCCACTGAGGGATGCTTCAATTCCATTATTAGTTTCGGGGATTCCCTTGCTGACACTGGAAATAGACTTCATCTCTCTCAAAACAAAACTCTTCTTCCCCATTTCGCCGTGCGACCTTACGGTGAAACCTTTTTTCATCGTCCCACCGGTCGGTTTTCCGATGGCCGTATTGTTATAGATTTTATTGGTACGTACAATTTTTCAAACTTGTACACATAAATATATATTCTTTTTATTTATATTTTTTTCTTGATTGATTTGTAGCTGAGAGTTTGGGGCTCCCATTAGTGCCACCATATTTGGGAGGAAAAGATGAGAGATTCAAGCAAGGTGTGAATTTTGCAGTGGGAGGAGCAACTGCACTTGATTATGCCTACTTGTTGGAGAAGGGAGTAACGCCCGGTAACAATGTGTCTTTGGGGACTCAACTGATTTGGTTCAAAGAAATGCTCTCTTCCCTTTGCAAATTCCCTTCAGGTACTATTATAATTTTCCACTTGCCTGCTGTATTAATCTTTAAGAAAATCTCATATAGCTAGGTTCCTACGAATTACAATACTTCTTCATTTGAAAGAATTAATTAATTACGAACGAAATATACAAATTCTTAATCACATTTCCTTTATTTCTAAATTGGCATTTATTCAAAGGTTCCTGCCCGGTACGTATGATTTTGCAAGACCACATTGAAAGTATTATCCAATATAAAAAATGTTATCCTAATCATTCCAAGGTCGTCATGGCATGAAATAATTATTATTTAGGAATGATTGGAGATGTTACTTCTTTTGAATTTTTCTTTCATCAGCTTGCAACGGATTACCTACCTTGAATATAAAAGCGGTCGAAGTTCTCTTATATAATTCCTTTTTTTTTTTTTCATTCTCTTTTTATTGTTGCGTACAAGCCATGCTAATTTTCTTTGTGTCCTTCAAATTTTATCGGATGTCTCTAAAGGCGGATCCAAGATTTAAACTTTATAGTTTTAAATTCGCAATTCTATCATATCTCATCTAATTTAGTGGGTTCAAAATATATTATATGTACATATTTAATGATTTTTTGGAAAAAATATAGGGTATGAGCAAAAAGCTATGAGTTCAGTTGAACCCATACCTTTTATATTGCATACGCCCCTGGATGTCCCCGAAGTGACATCTCGTATATGGCAAAAATCACTTTTAGCTCGCGGCCAAAACTATTTATATTTGGTAGCCGCAAAAGTGAATATTTCTCTCTTATATTCCCTAAAAACTACATTATGCACATTTGCAAGAATAGACCGATATGTTGAGAACTTGTCACAGATGACGACGACTGATAGTGTCCTTTTTAGTTTGTTGAGAAAGTAGAAATTAGATGGCAATGAATGCACGTTAACAAAGTACTACTATTATATCGCTAAAACACAAAAGAAAAAAAGGGAAATGCACAAATATTGGTTAAACATTAGGTGGATGCCTGCGGCAGAACAGTTGATAATGAATGTAATGGCCATCAATGAGGATTAGCGCACGTATCATTGTCAAACAAACTACACATTTTTAGCTTAACTACTCATAAATTTAACTTGTACGTAAATATATCTACGTTTGAAGATATCTTTATTGTTGTTGATCCTCTAAGTCTAGGACCGGTTATTTAGAAATAATAGGTTTGTAGGTATTTTAAAAAATATTATTTAGTACTTTTATTATAAAAAGTAGAATTTTTCTTATAAAAGGTAATTAAACTTTTTAGATATATAAAAAAAAAGTAACCGTTTAACTTGCTTAAAAATGGGTAGATGAATAATTTTTTTAACAATACAATTTAAGTTGATTTGACAATTCTACTTTTTACTCATTCAGTAAATAAATTGTAAAATTTCGCTTATTTTTCTTAATGTGTCCAAATCAATCTTTGTTTTCCTCAATCTCTTCATATTTCTGAAACGCCTACATTTTTTTTGTCTTCCTCTTTGATATTCTTACTCACTTCCTTTCTTCGATCCAAGATTTTATTACTCATCTTCTTTCTCCGAGATTTTATTAGTACAAGCATTCAACAGTATTTTTAAAATTTTAGGTCTCACATTAAATTTTGGCTTTAGGCCACACATGTACTTGAGTTCTGCTCTAAGTGGTCAAGGTCACGATAGGGTGGTGGGCAGGGTAAACATATGTTGTTAAATTTTAAGTATATACAGCACACATACTAAATTATACTACAAGTTTGAATTGTCTGAGTAAAATGTTCCACATGAGGAAAGAGATTAAATTAATTTGGATGAACCAAAAAGGTAATAATGTCATTTACTGAGATAAAAGTAGTATAAAATTAATTAATATCTAAATTTATACTATACTTGGAAAGAAGAACGATTTGCTATTTGCAAAAGAACAGAAAAAAGATCAAGCGAGTTAAGAAGGCATAAATAAATATTAAAGACGCTTATAATGTGTTAGTATAAGTCTTATTCAACATTTGTCAATTACCAGTTCTTTTTATCGCGCATAGAATGCAAGGAATTTCTACAGAACTCATTGATATTGGTGGGAGAAATTGGAGGCAATGATTTCAACTATGGTTTCCTTGGAAATAGCACTAAGGAAGAGGTTGAATCATATGTTCCAGCAGTCATCAACACTATTAGCTCAGCTATACAGGTAAGATCAATACCAAAAATACTGCACGTGTGGGATATATATAGTACTATTAGCATTCTTGTCTGATATATTTTGCTGAAATTGGAACTTTTTTTTGTAAAAAAATCCTTCATATTACTTAGCATGTGGTTTACCAGTACCTATGATCGGATTATTACTGGTGCATTGGACGGTAAATCGTTATAGCGAGCCTAATCAATTATTGAAAAGTTTGGTAGGGTTTTCTCATATTAACTATACACTAGCATAACTCCAGCTATTCACTTGTCACAAAGTTTCTTACAACAAATGTTCATATGTTCATATCTAACAATTTGTCTTTTCAACTCAATAACACAACTTAAATTATAGCATTCACATATGCATTTTGGTCAAACTATACCTTAAGTCGCATATTAGGTATTTTATGTGAATGGTGTACTCGGTTCTAGAAATCCTATATCTGTCTTTGATGATCGGCGGTGCTTCCCTTTTAATGGGCCTTACGCGAAACGAATTCGATTCGTTCGTGTCACTTGACAATTTGCTTTCGTCAGTTCTTATACGTCTCATAGCAACATGTATACAAACACCACGGCATAACTATGAGGCAAACATTGCTTCGAAATAATAAAACATAATTCTAAGGAAATCACTATTAATTAATTAATTCACGGTGCAGGAACTAATCGAGTTAGGAGCAAGCACACTGGTAGTTCCGGGGGATTTGCCAATTGGATGCTCAACAGCTTATCTGACAAAATTTATGCATTCAGATAAAGAAAATTATGATCCTAAAACTGGTTGTATCAATTGGCTAAACCACTTCGCCCAGCATTACAATGAGCTTCTTCAAAAGGAACTTCATCTTCTTAGAAAGCTTCATCCTTCTGCTACAATCATCTATGCTGACTACTACAATGCAGCCATGCAATTTTATGTGTCTCCAATGAGCCATGGTAATTTTCTTTCTTTATTAACAAGTGTATAATCAACAATTCCAAAAATATTTAGTTGAGCTTGAATTGACAAAAACTTGACTGTTCCTGCTCTTTGGAGCACTTAATTAAATGTCTTCATATTTAAGAATTTTAACCTATCTATATTCAAATTTACAAATTAAGTGACACAATCAAAAATTCCACTGCCAAAATAGATGGAAAATATGATGGCATTTTTGTGTATATTTTTACAAAATCAATGAGTTATTGGTCATATAATTTACACACATATAATTTTTGTATATATATATATATATATATATATATATAGAAGGAAGCGAAAAATCTTATGATTAATTACGAAATATATATACTACAGGTTTTACAAAAGGAGCTTTAGATGCATGCTGTGGAGCAGGAGGGCCATACAATTTTAAATTTTCTGCAGTATGTGGGGATCCACCAGCAAGAAATATTTGCAGTGACACTTCACTGTATGCTAATTGGGATGGAATGCATTTCACAGAAGCTGCCTATAAATGGATAGCCAGAGGTCTTTTAGAAGGCACTTTCACTTTTCCTCCCCTCGCTAAAATTTGTACTCCTTTTAATGCAAATGTAAACCATTTTGGCTCTTAAGCATGACAAGTATAAAACCATTTGACTACACTAGCTTGTATTGATATTTTAAAAAATTCTATAGTTATGAATTATTTTTGAGCTGTAATTCGTGTTGCGTCTAACTTGATGTTTCATCATTCAGTCCTTACTCTTAAATTCACCCATAACAATATTTAAATAAGCTCATTAAGATCATTGTAGCTAGAAATAATAAGGAACCTGAGTTATGATTCCTTGCTGTATAAACTCTACTCCCTATGGTCCACTTTAATTGATTTTTTTGGTTATTTTTACACGTATTAAGGAATTCATGTTTAATTTTAGCATTAATTAATAATAAAATTAACCATATTAACCTTAATTTGTTCATTAAAAATATAACAAATACTCCATCCGTCTCAATCTATTAGTCATAGTTACTATTTTGGTAGTCAACTAGTTGTACTCTTTGACTATATTTTTCATAAATAGGTTTAATTATTTTAAAATATAAATTATTATGACTTATAGTATTTTTATGTAATTTTTGATTATAAAAAGATTATTTTTTAAAACGTACAAAATCTATATCTAATTGACCTTCGTGATTCGAACTATGACTAACAAATTGAGACGGAGGGAGTATTCCTAGGTTCTTTACTCCAAGGAAAACTTTTGAAAAAAGGAAGTTAATTCTTTCTCGATATCTGGTAAAAAATAAATATTATGGAACACAAAAAAAATCCAAAAAAATTAATTAAAGTGGACATGAAGGAGTACTATTTAAAAAGGAGAAATACATAAAGGGCCCCTTTAAATTGTCACCAACGATCAGGTGAACACCTTAACTTTTCAAATGTCCAACTAGACACCTCTACTTGATATATGTGTGTCTTTTAAACACATGTAGCTGATGTGGCATATGCGTGGTTGCTAACAAAATTTTGAGCGGGTGAACTCATTTTTTCAGCCTATTTTTGTTTTCTTTGAAAAAAAAATATTGTGTCTCTTGTTCTCTTTTCCACCTTTACAGTCACCTCCATTACCGACCACCATTCACGGCAGCCTTAACTGAGCACCTGGAAAATTATATTACTACAACTTCATCTACGCCACACCACCATTTTTCCGTAATTCTCTTCACCGCCAGGTTGCCACCATATAAACAAGAATAGCCTTGTTACCCTCATCTCCACCATAAAGAACCCAAGGTTCTTCACCCCCTCATCCTCATCTCTACCAAATAAATTCCAGCAGCCCCTTCAACCACTACCGACAACAACACCTTCATTCCAATTGAAACACATAAATAACAACCAATTACTTGAATCGGCCAAACAATAATTTTAAGGAAAATGACAGAGAGAGGATTAAAGATTCCAATAGAGTCGATTGTTTCAAAATTTTCCAGCGATGAGCTTTTTCGGCGATAGTGGCCACAAAATGAGAATTTTCGGCGAGGTCCGTAGGTGACTGGGTTATTGTAATGATCCATTAGTAATCTAAAGACTAGTGTTGTCAGCTGGGCTAGATGAAGGAAAGTATTAGGCGAGGGAATAACTAGAATAACATCATCGGGGAAGAGGAAGTAACATAAATTCAAATCGACGGCTAGGATTAGTTTTGAATAAATGAGCTGCAAATGCTAGGATTGTGCCAAGTCAGCTGAGATTGTTATAACTAACCTTCAACAGAATTGGGAAGGCAACGAATCCGAGGTCAATCTTATCTCTTCTCTCTCTTTGTCACTCGATCCTTGCCACTTCTCTTTCCCTTCCTTCAATCTCTGATTCTTTCTTCTTCTGCATGTCTGCAGATCTTAATCGGCTATGGAGTTTATCTGTAATGGATAGTTAATTCATTTTGGTTGTTTGCAGTTCGACTTTGTCCATATATATATAAAATAGAAAATTGTCCCAAAATCTCCTTTTATTTCGTACTTTAGTTGATTAATATCTCTGATTCTTAGCGAGATCATTACATTTGGTATCGGAGCTTCAATCTAGCGACTCTATGGTGGCAATGGTTGAAGGAACTAGACTGAAAGTTATGGATGATAAGCTCGTGAGACATAATGAGGCTTTGAACGAGGTACTGTCCCCTCAGGAGGAGCTGCGCAACACACAAACTAGTATATAGGGTACTCTGGAGCTAATCCTAGAAATGTTAACAAATTTGGAAAGAGCTCCTCAGCGAGATCAAGGTGACAGACCTCAAGGAGACTCTTACCACTCCCAGGTCAAGATATGAGGTAGAACAGACCTCAAGCTATGCAAGCTCCTTCTCCTAAGTCGGAGCTGCCTAATTTTGAGGGTCATGAACCTAAGGTATGACTTCATAAGTGTGAAAGGTATTTTAATCTGTATAGATCCCCAGACAACCAAAATGTCAAAGGTGTTTCCTTCTATCTAAATGGACTAGCTAACACTTGGAACCACTCATTAATATTGAGTAGAGGTGAAGTGAGTTGGAAAGAATTCAAAGAAGAATTGCTTATTAGATTTGGAGAAGAACTAATGAAGGATATAGTAGAAGAGTTCAACAAGTTGAGTCAAGTAGGCTCTGTTGATGACTTCCTAGGCAAGTTTGAAGACTTGAAAGCTCAAATGCTGGTAAGGAATCCTCATTTGGATGAGTCTCACTTTATATCTAGTTTTATAGGTTTCCTAAAGGAAGAGATAAGGTTTGATGTGAAATTGTTCAAGCCTATGACCCTAAGATTTGCTGGGGAACAAGCCAGACTACAGGAGAAGGCCATAGAAGCTCCTCAAAAGAAGAACAAGAGTACCCCAAAGCCCTTATTTATAGCTAGCAGTTCTGTTAACTTAAAGGATGTTGTTGCAGCTGTAGTCAAGCCAAACTCCTTTAGACTTAGCCCTAAAGTCTATGAGTACAGAAAGAGCATTTATTTGTATTTTAGATATGGTAAAAAGTATGCTTCAGGTCATCAGTGCAAGAAGAAGCAACTGAACCGTATGAGGGGAGAAGTAGAGCCAATTCCTGAATGTACTGAGGCTGTAGAAGAGAAACCTTGTGCAGACTTGATCATTAAAGGAGAGTTGGAGCAGGAAGTCATGGAAACTATGTGCACGAACACCCTATCAGGTGACAACAGAGGATTCAATACCATATTGGTTAGAGGTACCATAAAAAATAGGAAGCTAACCGTGCTAATAGATTCTGGTAGCACCCATAGTTTCATTGATGCTAATACAGTCAATGAGACAGGTTACCAGGCTAGGCATTGCCCACCAGTGAGAGTGACAGTAGCTGATGGGAACTATGTCATGTGCACCTCCATTTGCACAGGATATTAGTGGAAGATGCAAGGTAGACCTTTTCAAGAAGACTTACTAATTATTCCACTAGGAGGTTGTGATATGGTGATGGGTAATGATTGGATGAAGAAGCACAAACTCACTAAGTTTGATCATGAAAAGATGTGTGTTACCATTGGCAAGAAAGGCAATAAATTAGTGTTGCAGGGTATTTCTGAATAGGGAAAACTAAACATGATCTCAAGTGGAACCATGGGAAAAATGCTGGAGAAGGGCCAACCTATGATAGCTCATTTGTTTATGATGAGCTCCTTGGTGACAGAAGATCAGGAACTAGTAGAAGAGGCAATTCAAGAGGTGCTGCACATGTATCCTGATGTGTTTGCATAACTTAAATCTCTGCCCTATGTCAAGACCCTAGACCACATCATTCCCTTGAAACTTATAGCCATGCCAGTCAGTCCAAGACCCCACAGGTACAATTTTTATTAGAAGGATGAGTTAGAAAGACAGGTCAAAGAGATGCTCATCAATGGGATAATTCAACATAGTCAATCACCATTTTCATCACCTTCTCTACTTGTCAAAAAGAAGGATATAACCTGAAGGTTTTGTGTAGATTACAGGGGACTGAATAACATTACAGTGAAGGGCAAGTATTCTATCCCAATTGTGGATGACCTCTTAGATGAGCTGTGTGGATCTGCGATTTTTTCTAAGGTGGATTTGAGAGCTAGCTATCACCAGATCAGAATGAAGGTAGATGATGTTTACAAGATAGCTTTTAGAACTCATTTAGGCCATTATGAGTTCAGAGTTATGCCATTTGGATTAACAAATGCACCCGCTACCTTCCAGGCTTTGATGAACCAGGTTTTTCAGCCTTTCCTTAGAAAGTTTGTTTTGGTCTTCTTTGATGATATCCTCATCTACAGTCTATCTGTGAAAGATCATGTAACTCACCTAATTACTGTATTTGACACTCTGAGGAAACACTCCTTGTTTGCTAAAAAGTCAAAATGCTCATTTGGTCAATCTAAGGTTGAATATCTAGGCCATATAATAACTGCAGAAGGAGTATCTACTGATCCTACCAAAATACAAGTTATGATTGACTGGCCTAGACCAACCTCATTAAGAGTACTAAGAGGATTCTTGGGGTTGACTGGGTACTATAGAAATTATGTTGCTAATTATGGAGTTACTAGTGAAATTCTCCGCGCTTTGCACGGTCATTACAGAAAATAGTAAATATGTCATACGATCGTGTTAAAAACTTAATCGAGATAGAAGAGATACAATTATCATGCATTATATACAAATATAAATTCTCCTGTAAGGTACAAAACTCACAATATCATCAAAAAAATTAACAAAATTGTATATCAATAAAATAATAAGTATTTATATAGTCAAAGCCTATAAAAGTAAAAAATGATATACATTAGTGATTGAATATTGTAGCATTCTCATGGTTGTGCATTGATTCCATTTAAAATTATAGAAAGAAATACTGTTTGTATTGAATCTACGAACACTTTCGTACACTTTAGTCTAGAAAGACAAAAAATAAGAGTTGCACTATATTCGGGAACAAATTTGTACCAACAGAATGTAATAGAAACAAATTTAGAGGAATCTAAATGTAATGCAAAAGAACACTGGGAGTTAGATTTTAGAAATTGGATATAGAATTGAATACTTTCCAGCTATAGTTCATTTCAGATGTTCACAAGACAAACTACAGTTTTCAAGGGCAGAAAGAAAAATAAAATACTCATTTTCCAGCAGCATAATGCATAAATCTTCCATGTATTCCTCCTCATTTACTTATGTTTCATCCCTAAAC